AAGAATAATGGGGGTATATATACCTTTTAACTATGGTTCTCTCATGACTCGACAACGTTTTCACTTTTCAGTATCAAGATCTACTGCTAGGGATAGGTTAAAAATTAAAATCAATGGTTTTATTATATTTCTAATCTAAATTTTTTTTGAAGGTTCTAAACATTTTTTATTTGATGTAATTGTATTCTAACAGCAAAAAAATGATATAATGAAAATTAAAAATGGGACACTTACCTTCCCACGTTCTTTATTTTTTTTCAATTCTTCTTTGAGACGATTGAGTTTGATCTGTTTTTTGAAAATCCTAGCTTGCTTCAACGAGGACAAATATCTCCTTTTCCTCAAATCAGGGCTTCGAAAACGCTTAACCCGACGTTCAAAGCGTGAACTACTGAATACGTACGGTGGTCCAGTAGAAGGGAAGATCACAATATCCATTTCGACATTACATACCCTCTCAAGTGCATCAGCCTCCTTGAAAACATCACTTAGACATTTAGAAAAAGTCAGTTGCCTTGTGATGATATTCTCAGTGTGTCTCATCTCAATCTTTCTACGACTTATCTCTTCTTTCTTTGTTGTCATCTACTCAATTTTATAGATGGATTGGATTTAATAGGTTAAACGCCCTATTTTTATTTTCTTCAATGAAATATCTAGTAACTCAAGATTTTATGCTAGATACATACAAAATTTATCTTTAACAAAACCGACACGCGTTAAACATGCGCATTAGCCACGGCATACTAATACATTTTTAAAAACAAAACGACAATAGATAATTAAGAAAAAATTACTATGCTTCTTAAATATCTTTAACTTATTTTAAATACTTAGCTTAAAAATATGAATGCTGAAATAATATTGGATTTATCTATTATCTCAAGATTTTATTCTATATACACAATTTTTTTTTTTGAAAACCTCGACGCGCGTCAAACATGCACATTAGCTACGCAATACCAACACATTTTTTTCAAGCAAAACTACAATAGAAAAGGGGTTAGGAAAATTTACTATGAGTTTTAATTATATTTAAAATTTCTAATGCTTATCTTAAAAATATCTCAAAATTTTAC